CCTGGGGTGGGAACCGAAGAAGTAACCTTCTTCTCAACATTCCCACTTCAGGTAAGTAGCATAGTTCCCCTTTTAATAATAACTCAACATTCCCACTTCAGTCTGAGTGGCCAGGGATCGCCGTCCCACATCGGGGCTGCCAGTACGCACGCCCGATCCACCCCCCATGAGGTCCTCAGCACCGGACGCTACGCCCGGACCGCCTCGACCCCGGACGCGACCCTGACACGTTTTCAGTTTTTCTTTTCTGTAAGTACAGCTCCCCTCACCTTACTAATTCTGGGCCTTCAAGGGTTCAGGCCTAAGAAGGGGATACTGTCATATCCATCCCTGGCCGATCCCTCCGATTCCTCTGGTTTACTTCTGCTCCTTCCTCACTAACCTCGGAGCTCCCGTATTCCGCAACCCCCTGGTACCCCTCGATGGTCACCACCCCCTCCTTTCAATTTATTACCTACACCTCCCTAAGTACGGAGCCCCAAAGGCTTCCGGACAGCTCCGACGTCCGCTAGCGCACTCCCGCCTCCGCTGGACAATACACTCACTTGCCCTGCAAAGCCCACCTTCGGGCCTATCCCTCCTTTCCGTTTCTGGGTTATCGCTGCCTTTCCACTAACCCCATAACCCAACTCGTCAGTAATATTCAATCGGCTAATGTCTAAACCCCGTTAGCTCTGCTCCGCTCAGCTCCACCATTTGCGGACCTGCCCTCATGTCAGGGCACAGCCCCTGACCCCACACACCCTCAGGTACCCTTCCCCCATTTTCTCCTATTTTTCCCTTCACTGTTCCACAATCCCGCATGCATGCAGACCCGTGGGAACGTTCTGGGCGAGTTACTTGCCCAGAAACCATCACAGCCACAACCGTGGGAACTTTCTGGGCAAGCAGCTCGCCCAGAATCTTCCCACGGGGGGTGCCAATTATGGAAAGTCGGCAAAGAGCCGAAAACTGTATAGTTCCCGACTCCCATTTGTAGCGGCTTCACAGGAGGTTGAGAAGGTGACCCTTCTTCTCAACTCATTTCCTGTGAAGGCTGGGGCTAGCCCCCTCAGTGAGTTTGAGGATCTCGGACTGGGACTAGATACCCCAGTGACTAGGAGGATCCCCCTGGGCCCGTCGCGGAACGAGGGCCGGGCCCTGACACCTCGCTGTAACTATATATACTTAACTTGTACATAGGTTACACTCCAGTAATAAAATCGACTAGAGTTTACCCTCTTCAGTTCTGGTGGCCAGTTAGTAAGTTAGGGCACGGACGTGTTTACTAGGCACAGCGCTCCTGGCATAAGTCACTGAGGCCGAAGCCCTCCATCACGGAGACACTCCTTCATCTTGACCTGGTCTCTGACAATGTTGCTATTCCCATTATTGGATATCTCACTAATGCATGATCCTTTTATTATGAAAATTTGGGTGGATTAAGATTAGATCCCTTCCTTTCTAATGGGCTATCAAGCTCATCTCGGTCGTTACTGGTTAGTCTTCGCGCTTGCTTTTTAAACGTTGTCCTCGTTTTGCAGGAGTTTTAGTCATATCTCCATTGTTTATGGGTAGTTTTCCCTGTAATTACTTTCATTGGGTCCGTTTGGGGGACATCTACATTTCCTATTATAAACACGACTTTGAATTTTGCATTAGTTCCTGAGGAATCCTTGTTCCACAGTACTTCCATCCTTGGCTACGTGTGCGGATGTGGGAAAGTAGTTTCCATGGAGGTTCTCTGATTGTTTCTATAGTCAAATCTTGGTCGATTGTCCTAATTCTTTCTTTAATATTTTTTATAAATTCCCCCGAGAATTCCGTCTTGTTGATGCTAAGCTTGAAGTATTTTTGCTAATTTTCTTTCTTTCAATTTATCGCATATAGTCATAATAATTCGTAAAAATTCGTAAAAATTCATTAAAATTCAGGTCCTTCTATTTTCTCATATCTACTTGTCGTATGGGGTTTTTTGATTTATCTGGCATATTTCCATAATGGGTTTCCATAGTGTGACCATTATTTCTCCTACAACGCACCTAGAAACACATGCTTGTACCCACTCTGCTTTCTTCTCTGTGTTCATGGCTCCCCAGGCTCAGACCCATGACTTTTGGGCCTTCCACACACATCTTCCACGTCCCCCACCTGCTTTTTTGGCAACACACATGATATTTGCGCCTGCGCATGCTGAGAAACTCGTGCCAGCACATCCTAGTCCAGCCACATGTGATATTCACACACTGATGGCACTCTACCTGTGTATTTGCCCTCCGACACACTCTCTCTCACACACGGCTGTGGAAACTCACCATGTACTGGCTTGATGGTAGGGATCCCCCCCTGGATGATTCTGCCTCGGGGCGGTGAGGAATACTGGGAGACACCTGAACGCGATGAGGTGATAGAGAAGGCTCACAATGCGATAGGAGTCCTTGCTGACAATCTCAAGGCTTCTGTTGTTTTGGGTGATCGCATGCAGTGGTGGATTTCTGCATGTGAATATATCAACGCTGTCATTGGGATCGTGTGTCGCGAGGCTTTGTGGAGTTATAGGGATGAGGGTGTCGGGTATAACACATGTAAGGATGTGTTTGAGTGGCTGGGTGCCATTTACGCTGAGTGGACTTCTATTCCTATGGTCCGCTTGTATGAGCTCGCATGTGAGCACTATCTGAAGTCCCTTCCAATGGATCTCATTGTCCCTCTAGCCTTTGTGTTAGAACTTGCGGATTCGGACGACTCCGGAGTGGAATCGGAGACTTAGTGTGGAAGGACCTCGGCCTCAGCGACTCAGGCGGAGCGCTGTGCCATTGCTGGTTGTCCTAGGGGTCCCTAATTTTGGATCTAGCAGAGGGAAAGTCTCTTGGGGGGAATTCAGGTCGATTTCGGACTGAGGTTACAAGTTACTAGGTACATTGTATATAAGGAGGGGTCCGGAATCAAAAGGAACAAGGGTAGGACAAAAGGAGACAAAGGGAGATGGAAAGAGGAACAACACCGAGGGTCAAGTGTTTGACTCAATGGTGTTTCCCAAAGGAGGAATGAAGGGAAAGGCCAAGGAGGAAGGAAGGAGGATGGGAGTCGGGAATGGCTAGCTGACTGAATAGAAAGGAAGCAGCAGCCCAAATAGGAATGAGGGAGAATAGCAGAATTGAATGGAGCAATGCAATAGTTGCAAGGTCCGACATAAGTCCGGAAAGTCCGAACTCGGAAGTTAAACTCCGGAATATTGGCAAACGTAATTAAATGGAATGAGCTAACCAATACAATGGGTATAAGTGGAGGTGGGGTCAAAGTCCGAGGTCGGAGCTAAGACCGGAGGTTCCGGAGACAGAGACGCAAACGGGATTCCGGAGCAGAGGTCCGGAGTCGGGAGCATAGGTGTTGCATACTCGTCTGGAAGGTGTCGAGGTTGGGGTCGGACCCGGAATGTTCCGGAGTCGGACCGAAGGTGGTGTTGGAGCTGGAGGTGGGATAACCTCTTGGGAGTTGGCAAGGAGAAGGTGACGGAAGGGAAGTAGGGCTCCAGAAGTCAGGTTCGGAGTTCCGGGAGCCCGGAGCAGAGGTCGGGATTGTATGGATATGACACTTTGCCACATTTTGCCCATCCCTTTCCCCTCTTCCCCTTGATCTTGTGGCTGACTCTGCACAAGCTGACAACAAGCCAGAATCAGATAAGAAAAACAAAGGTGGGAAAAGTACTTAGTGTGCTCTTGCCACCACAGGTGGCATCCACTAATCATACGCCAGTGTAAAGTACGCATGAGACAACATGACACCAGTTGGTTTGATGGGGTATAGGAAGTGAAAAGTGCATTCGTTTAATCGGATAAAGCTAGGGGAATGAAGAGCATTGGCAAAGCTAACTGGTGGCGGGTAATGGTGAATGTAGCGTGCTCATGGCAGACAAAAAGAAAAGGGAAAAGAACACCTGTGTGCAGAAAGATATTACCAGTTTGAGGAAAAGATCGATGATGTTGGCAGAAAACATTCCTGTTCTGCTAACTTCACATGCAAAAGCCTTATCATAAGCAAGGTCAGGGCTGCACAGCAGCCATTTCTAGTGACATGGATATGTCGGAATTATCAATGTGCGTGCTGCAGCCATGTGACATCACATGTTAAATGGTGTTTGAAGAAAAAAAGTAGCATCTAACATTGTTTTAGCATGCCATTCCCTGTCAACTCATGTTCTGTAGCATAATTAGGTATCTTGGAGCTAACACAAAAATCAAATGAATAATCTTAATTCTGATGGTTCCCTGCCACGTTCATGCTCATCACTGTCCAGAGTGATCCAGGGGCCGATTTCCCACTAAAAACCCTGTTCAACTCACTTGCAGTATCTAGCAACACCCTCAGGACATTCAGGTGTTGCTCTGCCATGCTGAGAGGTCAGGATCAGAGCTAGGGATTGAATTGAATATCAATCAGCATCTTATGGTAATTGGCGCATGTAACAATGAATTAAGTTTGTTTTTACATCGGTATAGACCATTGTGCTTGCTGTACCGTTAAAATGCTCAAACAGTGAGAAACGGCCTGACACAGAGCCCGAAATAATAGAAACAAGATAACAATAAATTCAGACAACTCCGCTACAATAAGACAAATAGACAAATATATTTGGCCAACTCCGCTACAATACAGCTCAGGAATGACTTAAAAAGTCATCCCGTTGACAAACAAACAAACATAAAATAGAAGAACCACGACCGCAACATCATTAAACTAGAAAAGGGAGGAAACTAGATAAGAGAAAACCGCATCTGTTGTGCAATGCCAAGAAAAAAGATGAATACCATAAAATACATGAATATGAACCAAAAAATCTAATGAAATTGTTGGGGGGGGGGGACTAAAGCTCAGGCAGCACCTTGGTGAGGAGTCGAGAAGACACTTGAGCCAAAGGCTATCAACAAAGAGCGTCTAGAACCCAAATAAGCGTTGAGAGCAACGCTGGCTACTAGATCTACTGGGTAGTTCCGATGGAACTAGGCAGTTCGCTGAACTACCACACAGCCTGTGAGCCACAAGCCTGGTGTCCCCAGAAAACGACTCATGGAGTCATGGAGGTAAACCCACTACCACCTAGAAATCCCCCCCCCTGACAGAGATGCCACCAAAATAGACACTCCCCCTTAATGAACCACTGTCTGTGGCCCCACTTACCTCAGAAGATGAGAATACACTGGAGGCCCTCTTCTCAAACAAGAAGAACCTCCACAAACAAAAGCTGGCCACCGAAAGCCCAACAACCATACCACCCCAGCCTATTACCACAAAGGCCACAAGCGAGGACGACAACCTCTGCAGCTCACCTGATGGGCCCCCCAGTCCCCTAACAATCAGAAACTTGAGGTACATGACCACAAATACAAGGGACACATTACAACTAGACACAAGAAAGCATGCTAGATCCCCGACAGCTGCCAAATTACAAGGACTGTCCAGAGCGCCTCCTAGAATCCATCTCTGCAAAAAATCCATCATAAAATCAGGGACCAGCACCCAACTCTACCCTGGAAACCTGGACGCCCCCCAGGATGTCTTCACAATGGCGAGTACGAACGAGAGCCAGAGCGAAAACATGCTCCGATCAGACATAACTCCCTCTGAGTACCCCCCCCCCTGGCACCCAGTAACCAGTGCTGAGGACATTAATGAGATGCAAAATCTAGCCATGTATGAGACCACAAAAGCAGAGAGACCAAAAGATGGAAAAGAGGACTACAACTGGATCACCCTCAGACATGACCTCGAGAAATTCATAGCACATGGACTCTGCCCATCCTGCCTGCTAGAAGGAGCTAACCCAGCCAGAGCTGAACACAGAAGGAGCTATCCTGGCCTTGCCACTGGATGCAGCCTACAACGAAGAAAACACATGCAACTTCCAAACTAATATGGAAATCTTCATCGAAAGAGCCTTCCCGAACCAAACAAAGAGAGTGAGAATCATTCCCCCCTCCCCTGCTGAGGTAGGAAAGAAAAACTATGGGCAGTACGCCCAACTGTGGGGCTTTCTAGTCCAAGGTCTTAACCCACCCTATGCCGACCTCCTGGTCAACAAACACCTCTGGATATGCCGGAAATTTGGGTTTATAGCAATAGACCTAAAACTTAGACCATCAACCTTTGTCACCTCATTAATTGGAATGAGCAAAAGACTCAAGGATGAGGAGGACATTGTCACAGCCATCCAAGACACAATCGTGGACACGAACAGGTTATTCCTCTCATTCCCAGCATGTCAGGGCACACCCGCCTGACCCGGGTCCACCCGGACCCACCCGGCCACACCACACCTGCTCCCCGCTGTCCAACCCTCTCCCTCCTCCTTCCTCTGTCTCTCCTCCTCTTTCCTTTCTCTCTTTCTTCCCCTTTCTTTATCTCATTCCTCTCATCTTCCTTTTCTTGTTTATTTCCTTCTATCTACATGGACCACCCTCCTTTGTATCAATGTACTATTGACCCGTCCGGCCCACACACCCCGGACGGCTCCCCGCTGTGCCCAGCATGCGCGCATGCAGCGGACGCTCTCGGGATCCCCCACGGGGATACCCGGATGCCTGCGGCTGTCTCCGAGGGTGACGTGGCACTCGTCATGTGACTCAAGCCGCATGTACATAAATGTACCTGAAGTGGGAACCGAAGAAGTAACCTTCTTCTCACATTCTCCACTTCAGGTAAGTAGTATAGTTTCCCCTTTTAATAACAATAACACATTCTCCACTTCAGTCTAAGTGGCCAGGGACTGCTGTCCCTTCCCGGACCTGCCAGCATGCACGCCCGGTTCGCACCCCGCGAGGGCCCTTCTGCCGGGCGATACATCCGGACCCCCTCTACCCCGGACGCGTCCCTGACATAGCACAAATGGACATGACATCCAAGCCACCCCACAAGGATATGCCCTGAATGGAAAAGACACTGCAGACAACATAAACGAAAAACAGAAACCCACCACGGACAGTGCAGTCACCATGTGGGAAATCCATGTGCAACCCCCCCTCAGCGTGCTAACTGACACCCAAGACTCCCTTCACAACGAATGGATTCAGATATTCAAATCAGCAACCTTTGTAGGAAAATGGACCCAAGCAGGCACAGCTTTCAACTACCATAGACTCTGCCACACCTGCAAGGCTATTGACCACTCCTTTCACATATGTCAGGGCTGCAGGTTAACGATTATGATCCGACAGATTCCAAAGTGGAAAGGAGTCGGATAAGGGTTACCTGAGCAGCAAAAAGGGTGAGATCCATTAGACATCGCAAACTATGTACACACTGAAGAAATTCATGTTGCTAGCGCTATAGACTTATGTCATGAATTCAACTAATGTAAGCCGGGTGACTGGATGAATGACATAAAATGGACAAGCCTGGTATCGAACCCAGGACCTCTAGCATGCATCCATACACTACTCACCCATTATGCCAGGGAGGTTACTCCATCCCTGATGGTTATTCCAACACACACACACCTGAGCAGCAAAAAGGGTGAGAGAAGAAGATTACTTCTCTCCCCGCTGAAGGAGCGGAACTGAGAGTGCAGTTTTCCCTGTTCCTGGTTGTGGGGGAGTGTACCTGTTGAGTACGGTGCTGTGTTAGTGTTTTGGTTGCTTTTTCAACAGTTTAGTATGCTATAGAAAAATCAAACAATCAAACACCCTGCGGAGCTGTTCAAATAATTCTGTCTGTCTGAGCCGACTCTGTTCTGTTCAGCTCTCAGTCAGAATTCACCTAATTCTACCACTTTTTAGTTTAGGAAGTGATTACTCCTATGTGTGGAGAGATACTACTATTTTCTCCCTTCACACTGTCACTTTTTGTTCAGTAGTAACAAACTGCTTCTAAGTGTCTTACTTAGACGCCTATAAATCTCCTATCTCACTTATCACACTGTTGTTGCCTTTTGTACAGTGGCAAACTTAACTGTCTTATCACTTTTTCGCACTGGAGTGAGAACCAGAAGTGCTTGAGAGAAATATTACTCTATTTTCTTACTTCTCTTACTGTTGTTGCCTTTTGAACAGAGGCAATCTTAACTGTTTCTATCACTTTTTCGCACTGGAGTTGAGAACCAGAAGTGCTTGAGAGAAATATTACTCTATTTTCTTACTTCTCTGAGGGGCTGCAAAGTGAGCGAAATCATGGTCCTTTTATACCTTTCAAGACCTTTCTTTCCCACGCTTTGCACTATTTACATGCAATAGAGTATTTACAAGCTTTTGTTCTAGAAAGCCCTAATGACTTGCCCAGATGACTTAGTCAGATATGACTCAACCAAAATGACTTGGTTAGATGTGATGGGGCTGTGTATGACTCAGTCTGAATTGGTTTCAGGCTGTGCATTTCTATTTTCAAGAAATGACTCAACCATATTATGACTCAACCAAAGTGACTTGGTCAAAAATGACTCAGTCAGGGTGTCATATAGTTCTGTCTAGAAAATATTTCTAGGTAGTTGTTCATAGGTTCATATAATCCATATAGTGTAAGCATGTGAGGAAATGTTCTTCAAAGTATGTTTTAACATAAACAGTCCAAAAAAAAATGTCATAAAAATGTAATGCATGTCGGATCCCCCTTGTTCCACAGCCATGGGAACATCTGGTGAATGTCTGTGCACAGGGAAACTTGTGCCAAGACTGAGGCTGAAGTGTGGTCACCTTACCAGTTAAAGTGTTTAACTTGTCACATGACCTTCAACATGGTGTCGAATCCAAGTGATACACACAACCTTGATTGACTCCTTCAATTACTCTTTCCTCCCATTCCAACTTGCTATCATACAAGGGTCAAGTGTCCATGCATGTGAGGTCATTCTTTAGTTGTTGATGATGTCCTCGGAACTTTCCCTACACCGCTGCCAGGTGGTAAATAAGGGGCAGTTAAGTGGGGATTACAGGGATGCAGCATGAGGCCCAAGGATATGGGACATGGGAGTGGAGGCTGTGTAGATATGCTGACATACAAACAATGACATGAGGCAAGGACCTCTGACAAATAAGAAATGACTCGGCTCATGAGAGAGGTAAAAAGGAAGTGATAAATGAGAATGAATGGAATAAATGGCAGAGAACTGCGGTACTCTGACAATGTATGCCCAATACACCAACACTGGGCATGGAAGGAATGCTACCCAAAACATGACACCACCTCAAGGCAAGGACGTGGATATGGTAACTACCAACAAGGACCCAGCTGGAGATCACAGGGCCCCTTGCAACAAACCATGGGCCTGTGTCAGGGGACGACTCCCGGGTCCCCATGACCCTCCCCTATGGCCCACAGCCTCAGGTCTGGCCAGCCCTATCCAGGGCACAATCCTACTGTGGGTAAGAAGATGTAATAGATAGAAAGGCAAGTAAGATACAACTTGCCTACTGTGGGTAAGAAGATGAGAAGGAAGCTAACTTCTCATCTTCCCACAGTGGCCACCATATCAGGAAAACTTCCGGGAATATCCGGAAGTCACATGAAGGCAGGATCTGGGGCCGGATCATGTGGCACACAGAGCATGCAGTGTGGGAATGTGCACGGGAAATGTAGCGGGTCCGGACGTGTGTCAGGGATGCATCCGGGGTAGAGGGGGTCCGGATGTATCGCCCGGCAGAAGGGCCCTCGCGGGGTGCGAACCGGGCGTGTGTGCTGGCGGGTCCGGGAAGGGACAGCAGTCCCTGGCCACTTAGACTGAAGTGGAGAATGTGTTATTGTTATTAAAAGGGGAAACTATACTACTTACCTGAAGTGGAGAATGTGAGAAGAAGGTTACTTCTTCGGTTCCCACTTCAGGTACATTTATGTACATGCGGCTTGAGTCACATGACAAGTGCCACGTGACCCTCGGAGACAGCCGCAGGCATCCGGGTATCCCCGTGGGGGATCCTGAGAGCGTCCGCTGCATGCGCGCGTGCTGGGCACAGCAGGGAGCCGTCCGGGGTGTGTGGGCTGGACAGGTCAATAGTACATTGATACAAAGGAGGGTGGTCCGTGTAGATAGAAGGAAATAAACAAGAAAAGGAAGATGAGAGGAATGAGATAAAGAAAGGGGAAGAAAGAGAGAAAGGAAAGAGGAGGAGAGACAGAGGAAGGAGGAGGGAGAGGGTTGGACAGCGGGGAGCGGGTGTGGTGTGGCCGGGTGGGTCCGGGTGGACCCGGGTCAGGGGGTGTGCCCTGACAACGTGGGTCCGGGTCCGGGCTAGTCAGGGTGTGTGCCCTGACAGCCTGCCCCCGATCCCATATGACTGCCACCCCAGTAGAGGTAACAGCTTTGGCCAATACCCCAAATGAACTCCACCACAAAACCACTACTGAGAAAAAACATACAAAAGAGTACTGGTAATCACACTAGAAATAAAAACAAGCATTATCTAGCTGCCCAATCATACTCTCACTGTAATATACAAAACATCATCGATGAAAATAAGGAACTTCATAAGCGCAAAGCCCAAATTTACTGAGCCCTGGTGACAGGAAAGCCTAGCACTAACCCCCCCCCGATAATCATAAACCCCCTGGCAAATCAGCTGGCAACTGAGCCAGGGACCTCCATATGCCCAAAAACAAAGATCACTAACAAAGCCCAATCACAACGTCATTGTCAACTCAACAACGGCAAACTTGCCCTTGGTGCCTGGAGGGTGGAATGTTTATCCCGTTTTACAGAAACCCAATGAAAGATACTGAGGATCGGAAAATGGACAATCCCAAACCCCAACTAGTCCACTCCACCTGAGAGGCGGCAGGGACCCGAAAACAGTCTCAGGACAAATCCAGATAGCAGCCCTCAACATCAAAGGTGCAAACAGCAACCACACGAAGAAGAAATGGAGCTTGATCACTAACATGATGATTAATCGTAAAATTGCTATTATGGCCATTTCTGAGACTCACACAGATGGTCCCCTAGCAGAAAACC